ATAAGAAAATCAAACAATGGCAAGATATAGTTGACTCTTGAACAATGTGGGAGTTAGGGGCACTGACCCTTCTGTACAGTTGAAAATATACATTTAAGTTTTGACTCCCCCTAAACTTAACTACCAATACCCTGCTGTTGACTGGTAGCCTTACCAATAGCATAAACAGTTGATTAACACTTATTTATATGGAGTATTGTATTCTGTATTCTTACAATAAAGTAAGCTAGAGAAAAGAAAATGTTATTTTTTAAAAAGATTTATTTATTTATTTTGGTGAGAGAGAGAAAGAGAGAGTGCAGGGTGGAGGGCAGAGGAAGAGGGAGAGAGAAACCCAGGCAGACTCCGCCAGGAGCCCTGAGATCAGACCTGAGTGGAAACCAGGAGTCAGACACTCAACTGATTGTGTCACCCAGGCACTCAGAAAAGAAAATGTTATTAAGAAACTCGTAAGGAGGAGAAAATACATTTACACTATTGTATTTGTTGAAAAAAATCTGCATATAAGTGGACCTGTGCAGTTCAAACTTGTGTTGTTCAGGAATCAACTGTATTGGATTTGGGCAAAATATGTGATATGAGTATAGTATTTTGCATAAAGGCATGAATTTTGCTGTGAGACCTATATTCAAATTCTAACTCTCACCTTCTAGTTTGGGAGTTTGGACGGAGATTTAACCTCTGTGACTCTCATTTCCTAATCTATAGAATGGGAGTGATAATACTTGCCTCACTGGATTGTGAAAGGATTAAAAGTGGTAAAGTGTATGTTTTAGCCAGGAACCTCTTGGAAATAAAATGTAAATGTAGGATTAAACTGATAACACTTTATTAGACTGATAATACTTTATTAAACTGGTAATACTTTATACTAATAATCAGGGCAGTGAGGATGAGGGAAAGTGGGAGTGAAGTGTCCGAGAATGCAACGATTTGGTGCAGGACTGTATTGGTGAGCCTTTGAGGAATAACAGCTGTAAGGTGGTAGAGAAGTTGAACTGCATCAGAAGTCTCAGCCAATCTCAGGAAGCTCAGGATTTGGATGGGTCTTTAGAGTGGACCCAAGGTGAGACAAAGGCTCTGGGCCTCTGTATTCCCTCAATCACCAGTCACAGGATGAGGGATGGAGGGAGAGAGGGACCAAACCTGAGACCAGGCAGCTGATTTTCTCCCGTGGCATACCGCTCGCTGTGCGCTCTCTGCAGCCAGTACTCATGCATTGGTCCTGTAGGGAGGGGGAGGAATGTGATATGATGAGCTCTGCGGCCCTGGCCACCACTTTGTCTGGAGTCCCATAGTGACTCAGCAGGGTACAGCAGGTAGGCACTGCATGCTCCATTAGCCACATAGGTTTGCAAGGAGAACTCTCAGCGGTGCACAGCAGATGGAAAAAGAGAAAATTTATTTGCACGGCTCTCTCCCATGTCCCATTTCCCACCAGCCATGCCTCTGTGCCTCTTAGAAAACCAGATTCCATGCTTTGCTTCATGGATTTCATCTACAAATTACACACTAATCAGGAGAGAGAAAAGAAGAGATCACTGAGGGAATTTGAGAAAGTATAAAAGATTGGTATCCAGGTGAGTCGATAAAGCAGGTAGTCTAGAATATGACTTAGAGTGAAAATTCAGTATATAGCTAACACCCGTGTAGCACCTTCCTTTGTGGCAGCCCCACTCTGTGTACTTTACGTACATAATGTATTTGTTCCTTACAATAGCTTGATGAAAAAGATACTAATACTAATATATTTACATTTTATAGACGAGGATATTGAGACTCGGATATTAAAGCTAGTAAATAGCACAGCAGAGAGTTTATATAACCAGGCGTCATTTCAGAGTTTATGCTGTGAACCATTCCACTGTATTGCTTCCAAGTAGCTATTATTATTTTTATTATTGCTATCATAATTAGAATATGTAAATATTTTATCATAAATATAATTAGCATTAGCAAAATATATTGAATATGAAAGACTTTACAAAAGTTTCAGTAATTTTTACTTTCATTTTTAAACTAATATCACCGGATAATTTGTATTTATGAAAAGTGATACAGGAAGTCCTGGCACTTACCCAAGTTTCTTTAGCTATACAGTAGAAAACAGGATCATAAAATAAAAGAAAATGTATGTGGTTCATTCAATAAAAAAAATCTCTTCTGCGTACTATATCTTGTATCAGGATGACTACAGCCTGATCTGCAGTTAGAGAATCTGTAAATCTAAGGACCCTAATTCCATTTCTGCCATTAACTGATTAGTTATTTAGAATACATCACTTCATCTCTTTATGTGTTAACTATATTTGTAAAATAAGGTAATTAGTAACATCTATCGTATATATATCACAGGACTTTTTTTAAGGATAGAAATAAGACAATATATATGCCTGAAATGAAAAAAATATATTGAAAACAACCTGGAATTATTTGGGAAAAAATTTAACTGTTTTAAAAGTACTGCATTTAAAAAAGAAAATCCCTGGATAAAAAATCGATAATTTTTATAATTTTATAAAGAAACCTAGTTCAAATGGTTTCCATCATTTAGTCTTTAATGGGATCATAATTTTTTATTACATCCTTTACACTGAGACATCTCTTCATCACTATTGATGTAACAAAACTTGTATATCAGGGATAAAAATTTATTCAGCTCTTCCTACTTGGTCATTAAACAAAGACTATTTGACCTGAATATAACTGTGGTGTTCAATATATCTGTACACTCTCAAGTATGGCAATAAATCAGGAACATAAGATTGATTTTTTTCAAAAATTATATAAATTTATTAAATTAATTACTTTTGTGTTTTGAGATTACCACAGATTAGTTTTTCTAATGTTTTGTCAAATTTCTTGGATTTATTTTTAGGCCTTCCCAATTCCTCCTGGGTTTATGGTGTGTTGTCTTTACATACTGGAAACTGACATTCTTTTACGTATCTCTCAGTTTTTGCTTTCCTTGTCAAGCTCCCTGAGTTCATGCTGTTTTTTGTTTACATTTCCATATCCAGGAGATGGACTGTTTTTACTACATCAAATAATTTACACTTTTGATTTTGTATCCAAGTCCTATTACTTCTCTGCACCTTACCTGTTCATGTGTGTGTGCAATTATATTGGATATTTTTTTCTTTCTTATGTAAGTAAGATCTCTTCTTATTCAGTAAATCATTTATCATTTATAGAGCACAAACTTCTTTGTAGATATATTTTTTTATTTTTGTGATTGCTTGGAAAATTACTGTGCTTATCTTTGGAATGACATAAAATTGGATACACGCATATCTGAATAATTATCCTTGTAGAGGCAGTTCATTGGTTATTTTAAATTATCTTAAAGACTTACAAGAGGAATTATAGAAGAAATTTTTTTTACATAATATTAAAAGTAAAGATGAAAATTAATAATGCATTTAGCTTTTTATGTAACATGTGATTGTTATTTTTCCTGGTAAAAATTCTCATTTATTCATATGTACCTGCCTTGAAATTTGTACCTTAAGGACAAAGAAAGGTCACCAATCCTTCTAACTCCTGGTTCTTTGTCAAAAATGGACACAGTTAATGAGGTTTGTTTGGTACAGAACAAATTCTCAGACACAGATAGAGATCCTTTCAATGGAAACAAATTTGTTTGGCTTTACCAGGTTACTTAGCGATTAATAATAGCCTTGAGATGCAGGTCAGAAAGGTCATTGTACCAGCTTGCCAACACAATCTAAATGTGCAGCTAGCCCAGCTCTGTGGGCGCAGAAGCCCCCAAAATACTATGCATAAAGTAAAACAGGCTATTTTCTGACTCCTTTTTTCATATTAATAAGCAATTTTCAAGAGAAGAGTGGCAAAATGAGGGCCATGCCACTCCAAGTAATTCATTTATTTTGCAATTTAATCTTATGTTGAAAAAATTGCTCTGCTGCAATAGCATAGCATGGTGATTTTTAAACGTCAGTGTGTTTCATAAGTAACCTTGTATGAAGTATTGTATTAGTAGCCTTTAACAGAAAATTGCAACAAAAATATTTCTAGACATTGAGGTAGAAATGAGAATCTTTTTTTATTTTTGGAATCTTTCCCTCTACTTTCCCTTGATATCTTTGAGGTAACCGCTCAGATCATTTGCTTAAAATTGTACTTAAAGAACTGGACACTAAGTTACATATCTATTTTTAAAAAAGAACAACATATAATTTCAAAACATTATTTTAACATGAATAGTTAAATTTGTTCTGTGAAAATGAAAGATTTATTTTTTTCCATATTTCATAATATCTTATTCTATTTATCAGGCATTTTTCACATAGTATATTTTAAAAGTTTATTTTTTGTTTAAATTTCTTAGATACACACACATAAGTGATGAAATTTTCATTATTTTAATGGAATTTATTATACCTACAAAGCCATGAACTTATTCACCTAGTTTAGCTTTTATTTTAATTATCTGTATAATTGAACAAAATAACATTTCAAGTGCAGGTTAATACATGTTGGTATTATTTGAACTGTTAACTGAAGTAAACTTAAGCATATTTATAAAAATCCATCACACTTTCAAAATTAGTCTGTTAGTATACAAAATAAATGATTAGAGACTTGTAAATATGAAATCAAAATTTAAAGGAAATCAGTAGCTCAGATGGTTTCTTGGGATATTTACATATATCCAAAATAGCTAATCTTCAACCAAAGAAAATGGCAAGGTAGTCATTCACTTACTTTGCACTTGATATATTTCCTTAGCTGTTGAATTAATTATAATATGTAGATATTTGATTTAAAAAAATTTAACCACTGAAAAATCACTTAAATGCTTTTTAAAGATTACAAAGATTCAGTGGAATGTGCAGGTAAGATCGATTACACCACTGATTTTGATGGATGTGGGTGATGGTAGCTGCTCAAAAAATTTCTTGATTATCATCAGTGGAAGAAGGCAAATGCTAGCAGATTTTTAGTATCATAAATAACTGCAGATTGTTTTGATGCAGGGAGGCACTGGAGGAGTTTGCAGAGATGAAAGAAAGAGAAGAGAAGAAGGCCGACCTCGAAAGGGAAGAGAAGAAAAGAGATTACCAAGCCCGAAAGATGCATTACCTCCTCAGCACAAAGCAGGTTGGTCTACCTGTCCCTGACAGCTCCCGTAAACCACTTGGGCCCCTGGCCTGACAGAGATAAAGTAGCAGGCTGAATGGGACATGACTTGTTGAAAAGATATCACAAAGACACTACTTCGCGTTCAATTTCGTGCTTCTGTGTAGGTGAGTGTAGGCACCATGACTCGTCTGTGACAGCAGCTTCGTAGGCAGCCGCTGGGACGCCAGCAGAAGGTCCACGTCAGCAGTGTGATCTGCCACTGTGATAACACAACACAAAGGGCATAACCTCGCTTTTGAAACCCATTCTGAGTGGCTTATTGTTGTTTCGAGAATTGATCAAGAACTAAGAAGTTATTAAACCGAGGTCGCTTTCAAGTTTTCTCTTTCACTTGAGCTAATGTTGAGATTAAAACTGTTCTTGCACCCTTTCTAAAGTTTGATGCACGTTTTCAAGTAAAGCTTTGAACAAACCTGCTTCAGCAACTACATCTTCATATTGAGATACAAATGTGGAATTTGGAATACTTAGAATGATTTTCTTACAAATGGTAAAATTTTAGTGCCTCAGATCTTGTTGTAGTTGCTAAGAAAAAATACATTGGCGTGTAGAATATTCTGCTCACAAAGAAATATGGTTAAAAAACAACATGAATTTGGGGGTTGAAGTATATTTTGTTAATTGAGCTTCAGGCAGGAAACTAGCAATTTGTGGGTTTTTATTCTTATAGACTTTCAAGTTCAGTCTCATAGTTCAAATGTCTCAGACATGGGCAAGTCAAGTCCATGGCGGAGTGTCCGTGGGTGTCGTCTGAGACTGAAGGTCATGGTTCGAGGCATCCAAATTCAAAAACATTAAGTACTGGACTGGCCATGTACATCTAGAACAGAGAACTGCACTTCTAGCCTCTATTTAGTAGAGTAATTAACAATACTTTCGCTAATGATGACTATCTTAGTATTTACTTAGATTTGTATAGCTGAGTTATCTCCATTTAACAGACGAGAAAACTGAAAGAAAATTACGGGACTGATTTATAGACATAAAAATAGTAATAATAGGTCTGGTACTCAAACTGAAGTCTTTGGATTCTAAATACTTAGGCAATAAAGACAAAAAATAAAAAGTCGAGGTATTTTAAGTTTCAATTATAAATCCATAATGATGTAAAAAATTTACCTGTATAATTGGTGGGCTACATTTTTTTAAATGTAGAATCACATATCAGGAATTCTCTTTTTTTAACTTCAGTTATTAGTAATTTTAATTTTGATGAAACTAAGGGAGGCATAAATATATCTTTAATTCTTTAAACCTGATAATAATTATTGGGTACAGTTGTTTATTTTGATAACTCTGAATCCCTTTTATACTTTGAATCTTTCTTAATCTGAGGTCTAATTGTGCTGTTTATACTTATGATGGGTAATGTAACAGCAAAAACAAATTTTTAAATGGTGAAATCAGATTTAATGGAAACATTTGTTAATTCTCTTTTATCCAGGGTTATTTAGATATCAAGTACATAGAGAAATATTTTAGAAAGTCCATAAAGACTTAGTTATTTTACTAATAAAAATAATGGAACAGCAGGGGGTGCCTGGGTGGCTCAGTTGGTTAGGTGACCACCTTCTGCTGAGGTCATGGTCCCGGAGTCCCAGGATTGAGCCCCACATTGGGCTCTCTCAGTAGAGAGCCTGCTTCTCCTGCTGCCCCCCACCCTGCTCGTGCTTTATCTGTCTCTCTCAAATAAATAAATAAAATCTTTAAAAAAATTAAAAAAAAATAATGGGGTAGTAAATATCCATGGAATACTTACCTCTGCCACAGAGTATGGTAGATACTTTGTATGCATAATTTCTTTATTTTGATTTCATTTTAGTTTTAAATTTAAACACCTGGTTTAACAAATTATTTCACCAACTTGACCATGTGACTTGACTCCTGACCTTAATGAATTTTTAATATTACCATTGTGTTTTAGGTATGTTTGTGTTAACAGATACAAGCTGTCAATGCCCTAGCCCATTTTCCTTCTTGTTTATACCTTGCAGACTGCTGGTACTATCCAGGTATATAAACTTTAGTTTAGTGATCCCTTGTCTCCAGAAATCCTTGGCATCCAATAGAATGATTGTTTTTGGGGCGCTGTGTACAGTAGAAACAGTTTGGGCATTTTGAAATCAGAGGTAAGTTGGCATCCAAGCTCTCCCACTTAGGGTAAAATATCAGGAGATTGATTACCTGGAACTGTCTGTTTCACTCTGCAATTTGAAAGAACATTACGAGAATTGAATATATTTAAAATACTATCTGGCCCTTAGAGAGCATTCCAGTAAATGGTAACAATCATATTATTAGAATTTAACCTATCGAGGGGCACCTGGTTGGCTCAGTCAGTTAAGTGTCTGCTTTTGGCTCAGGTCATGATCCCGGGTTCCTGGGATCGAACCCTATGTCAGACTCCCCGCTCAGCGGAAAGCCTGCTTTTCCCTCTCCCTCTGCCTGCTTATGCTCTCTCTCTCTCTCTCTGTCAAATAAATAAATAGTTTTTGAAAAAAGAATTTAACCTGTCAAGGATAAATGAAGATTCTATACTTTCATTTTCTTCTGTTTGTCGTAGTTGTTGGAAGCATTCATTTTTCTCATTTCTTTTCTTTGCTTTCCTTTAGTTATTAATGAAAATTAGTTAGAAATATTTATAATGATCTTCCCCAACATCCCCCTGCCCCATTTTACAACTGCCCTCACAGGCCTGAGGGCAACAGAGGGAAAATGATGTTCTTAAATCCGCTTCCTTGGAGAAGAATATTATAAAAATATCAGAGATTTTCATTTGGATCTGGCAAGTTGGTCTGTTTTGTCCTAGTGATCTTCATATTTGATCACAAATAACGGGAGATAAAATACAACCCTTTGAATCTATGCAGACACTTTTATTCCCAAAGCAAACTTTTTTTTTTTGTAATGAAATAGAGCAGTGGTATCATCTTAGTCTCATCTGTTGACATTGGCCAGGGGATTAGTTTTACTAATGGGATGGTACTGGAATTTCAGATGTTTTATTCCTTATTTTTCATCATGATGTAAAAAAGTTGAATTTTAAATTGATATTACAAGTCGTAATTATAAACCATCTTTACCTAAACAAAAGTATGCAATATTCACCTTAACCTGAATAAAGATATGCAACACTAACATTAATAAATAGATTGAATATACATCTTAACTTTAAAATTCTTTAATTATTCCAAAAAACATACTTTTGAGTACTGACAATCTATCTGATACTGAACCAGGAGTAGGACGTATAAATGTATACTATATGATCCTTCACCACAAGGCATATTCACTCTGATTTCAGTGTATCCCAAACAAATATTTTTACTAGAAAGAAATTTGATATCTTTCAACTGCAGTTTATATAGGTGGTCTTATTGAAATTAACCATTTATATTTATGATTTTGCGATTCCATTTATTATTTTATTTTCACAAAAATCTTTCCTTTCCCTAACCTAAGGAAGACTCAGAGAATGAAAGACACATGTTTCAATTTGAGTATTATTACTGATTTTCTCAGCATGACTTGGCTATGGGGGAGAAATTAAGCTGCAGATTTCAAAACATTCCTGAGATATTTACAGATTAATTGCGCGTTTTAAGAGTTTTGATTTCAAATTAATTAAATATACATTTAAGTACAAAATAAAAGCCAGGTTGTTATTAAAGGCTTGTGTCAGTTTTAACTCTCAATTTGTGCAGTTATTTGAAAATTTACTGAATAAATATTCAAGTGTAAGTAATTTTTATAAGAAGTACATCAGGATAAGAAAGGTTCTGCTGATGTATTGAAAGGGAATAATACTAATAGCCTTTTTAGAACTGTTTTATTAGTGATTTCAATAATTTAGGAGTGATTTATAATGATATATAATGATAGTTTGTAGAATATTAATTTTCAGACTAAGTTTTCATAGGTCTAATATAGCTTCACTTAGATGAGTAGAAATAAAACGTTAATTCAGACAAAGAATGCTTTAGAAAACGTAAGGAATTTTCTAAGCCAAAATTGTATTTGTGAATTCATATATAGATAATAAATGAAGTCATATGTTATTTAATTTTTAATAATTTTAGGACTATTATGCTGATATACTGACATACTCAAACTGATAACCTGTTTCAAAGTCAGTGTTAGTACAAATCTAGTGTATATCTTAGAATAGTTCCAAAATATATTCCTGATTTTTACTGATATTAAGTATCTCATCTTTATGCAAGCAAATATGTTAGCACTAATAGGAATTACACAAGTAAATAACTAATATTGTAATGAGTGAATTAATAGACCCCTCAGGGTTTTATTAATTAAAAAGTTCAAGTCATATTAAAGCACCTTTTGTATATGTTTATTTCAGAAAGCTGAACATGGTAACTTATTTGCATAAATAATCAATCACCATTTACTAGTAGTAATAAGGTTAATTTGTTGCTACAGACATAATAGGATTAGTCAATTATATTTCCCAGAAAATACTATTTGTTATGCACCCCATCACCTGTAAAACAGGATTGAGTTTAGTGCCCTTATTAAATGAACACATCAAAAAATCTTTGTCCCTGTAAAAGTTTTATGAAAAGAAAGCTAATTTTAGTTGATTTGAATAAGTAGAATGCAAACATTGCTTCCATTTGTAAATTAAATTTATCTTTCTGCAAAGATTGATTACTTAATGAAGTTACTTATTTTGATTCAGTAACCAGTCAGACTAAATCTAACACATATAGGACATGTTTCCTTTGAATAAAATCTCATGTGCAGATTTGTTTTATTCCAAATAAACTGACTTTCATTCCCGTCCTTGTTCTTGGGTAATAAATTATGTTGTCTGCTCCACCTACTGGTAGATACATGAAAAAGGCCTATTGTTGGACTCATTAGAAGACACTGCCTCTAAAATATTGCCAAAATTTTTACAGATCCTCCTAGAGAACAGCAGAGTTACAGATGCAAATGTAAGATTCAAGAACCACATCATAAATAATGTTTAGAGATATAGGTTATTATAT